ACATGGACACTGTGACTCAGATACTCAACTTGATACTCTGTCTCAGACACACAACACACATCTTTAGAAAACATGTACACTGTGACTCAGATACTCAACTTGACACTCTGTCTCAGATACACATGGACATTGTGACTCAGATACTCAATTTGACACTCTGTCTCAGATACACAACACCTATCTTTAGAAAACATGTACACTGTGACTCAGATACTCAACTTGACACTCTGTCTCAGATACACATGGACATTGTGACTCAGATACTCAACTTGACACTCTGTCTCAGATACACAACACCTATCTTTAGAAAACATGTACACTGTGACTCAGATACTCAACTTGACACTCTGTCTCAGATACACATGGACATTGTGACTCAGATACTCAACTTGAAACTCTGTCTCAGATACACAACACAGATCTTCAGAAAACATGGACACTGTGACTCAGATACTCAACTTGACACTCTGTCTCAGATACACATGGACATTGTGACTCAGATACTCAACTTGATACTCTGTCTCAGATACACAACACAGATCCTCAGAAAACATGGACACTGTGACTCAGATACTCAACTTGACACTCTGTCTCAGATACACATGGACATTGTGACTCAGATACTCAACTTGATACTCTGTCTCAGATACACAACACAGATCTTCAGAAAACATGTACACTGTGACTCAGATACTCAACTTGACACTCTGTCTCAGATACACATGGACATTGTGACTCAGATACTCAACTTGATACTCTGTCTCAGATACACAACACAGATCTTCAAAAAACATGGACACTGTGACTAAGATACTCAACTTGACACTCTGTCTCAGATACACATTGACATTTTGACTCAGATACTCAACTTGATATTCTGTCTCAGATACACAACACAGATCCTCAGAAAACATGGACACTGGACTCAGATACTCAACTTGACACACTGTCTCAGATACACATGGACACTCTGACCCAGATACTCAACTTTAAACTCTGACCCAGATACTTAACTTAAAACTCTGACTCAGATACACAACTTGAAACTCTGTCTCAGATACACAACACAGATCCTCAGAAAACATTGACACTCTGACCCAGATACTCAACTTGAAACTCTGACCCAGATACACAAAACTGATCCTCAGAAAACATGGACACTGTGACTCAGATACACAACTTGAAACACTGACCCAGATACACAAACCTGATCATCAGAAAACATGGACACTGTGACTCAGATACTCAACTTGAAACTCTGACCCAGATACACAACACAGATCCTCAAAAAACATGGACACTGTGACTCAGATACTCAACTTGACACTCTGTCTCAGATACACATGGACATTGTGACTCAGATACTCAACTTGATACGCTGTCTCAGAAAACATGTACACTCTGACTCAGATACTCAACTTGACACTCTGTCTCAGATACACATTGACATTGTGACTCAGATACTCAACTTGATATTCTGTCTCAGATACACAACACAGATCCTCAGAAAACATGGACACTGGACTCAGATACTCAACTTGACACTCTGTCTCAGATACAAAACACAGATCCACAGAAAACATGGACACTGTGACTCAGATACTCAATTTGAAACTCTGACCCAGATACACAACACAGATCCTCAGAAAACATGGACATTGTGACTCAGATACACAACTTGACACTCTGTCTCAGATACAAAACACAGATCCACAGAAAACATGGACACTGGACTCAGATACTCAACTTGATACTCTGTCTCAGATACACAACACAGATCCTCAAAAAACATGGACACTGTGACTCAGATACTCAACTTGACATTCTGTCTCAGATACACATGGACATTGTGACTCAGATACTCAAATTGATACTCTGTCTCAGATACACAACACTGATTCTCAGAAAACATGGACATTGTGACTCTGATACTCAACTTGACACTCTGTCTCAGACACACAACAAATTGGCCTTTTAACTCAGAATCTCAGCTTTATTAGAACTGTGACTCAGACATTCAACTAAACTGTACCTCCTCACATTTTTAAAAAGAAAAAATAACAAAATATAACAATAAAAAAAAACATTACCATGTCTTTACATAGCTAGTTTGGTTCAGTAAGCGGGTAATGTCCTGTAGCTACGTTTGATGTATTTAGTGTAACCCCCTAGCGCGTGCGACATGTACATTTGATGTAGACGTATATAACGATGAAAGACAGACATAACTGTATCTTAACATGAAGGACAGACAGACAGACGTAACGAGGACAAAGAGACATTACAAGAAGGACAGACAGACATATCGATGACAGACAGACATTTCAAGGATTGACAGACATAACTACACACAGACAGATATAACGAGTAGAGACAGGCATCACAAGAACAGACAGAAATTCCAAGGACGGACAGACGTAATGAGAACAGACAGACATAACAAGGACAGACAGAAATTCCAAGGACCGACAGACGTAACAAACAGACATAATAAGGACACAAAGAGATATCGAGGATACACAGACGTAACGGGAACAGAAAGACATAACAAGGACAGACAGATATTACAAGGACAGACAGACATAACAAGGACACACAGACGTAACGAGAACAGACAAACATAACAAGGACAGACAGATATTACAAGGACAGACAGATATTACAAGGACAGACAGACATAACAAGGACACACAGACGTAACGAGACCAGACAGACATCACAAGGACAGACAGACATTACAAGGACATATATGCATTACGTAGAGAGACAGACTTTCTCAGTACAACATCTTCTGGGTAAGCTAAACTTTAAATACATTATGTAAAATAGTGAATAGATGCAAGTTACATTTGTATGTATTGTTTTATTGTTGCAATAAAGACGAGTACTGGTTTTACCGGCCAAACATATTTATACCGGTCACTACAAAGGTCAATATCCGGTCAGTTCTGGTAGATACTTACAGAGATGGTCATTGTGTACATGAACTGTTCACTTGAAGCAAACTATTGACCAGTGTCCAATTCTTAAGTAAGGTCTACTCAGCTATATCGATTTGATAAAATTGAAGACACGAGGGGACAAATTTGAATCAATCATAATTTTCATCCTGAAGGAATTCCTAAGTTCAAGTTCACCCAAGTATGTCCTGTCAACACGTTCTTACAAGTGTGTCATATCAGCACGTTCATACCAGTGTGTCATATCAGCACGTTCATACAAGTGTGTCCTGTCAGCACGTTCATACAATTGTGTTCTGTCAACACGTTCATACAAGTGTTTCATATCAGCACGTTCATACAAGTGTGCCCTGTCCCCACGTTCATACAAGTGTGCCCTGTCCACACGTTCATACAAGTGTGTCCTATCAACACGTTCATACAAGTGTGTCCTATCAGCACGTTCATACAAGTGTGTCCTATCAGCACGTTCATACAAGTGTGTCATATCATCACGTTCATACAAGTGTGTCATACCATCACGTTCATACAAGTGTGTCCTATCAGCACGTTCATACAATGTGTCCTGTCAACAAGTTCATACAAGTATGTCATATCAGCATGTTCATACAAGTGTGTCATATCAGCACGTTCGTACAAATGTGTATTATCAGCACGTTCATACAAATATATCCTGTCAACTCGTTCATACAAATATATCATATCAGGACGTTCATACAAGTGTGTCATATCCGCACGTTCGTACAAGTGTGTCCTGTCAGCACGTTCATACAGCTGTGTCATGTCAACACGTTCATGCAGGTCTGTCCTTTCAACACGTTCATACAATGTGTCCTGTCAACAAGTTCATACAAGTATGTCATATCAGCATGTTCATACAAATGTTATTATCAGCACGTTCGTACAAATATATCCTGTCAACTCGTTCATACAAATATGTCATATCAGGACGTTCATACAAGTGTGTCATATCCGCACGTTCATACAAGTGTGTCCTGTCAACACGTTCGTACAAGTGTGTCCTGTTAACATGTTCATACAAGTGTCCTGCTAACGCGTTCATTCAAGTGTGTCCTGTCAACACATTTATACAAGTGTGTCCTGTTAACACGTTCATATAAGTGTGCCCTGTCAACACGTTCATACAAGTGTGTCCTATCAGCACGTTCATACAATGTGTCCTGTCAGCACGTTCATACAAGTGTGTCCTGTTAACACGTTCATACAAGTGTGTCCTGTCAGCACGTTCATACAGCTGTGTCATGTCAACACGTTCATACAGGTCTGTCCTTTCAACACGTTCATACAAGTGTGTCCTGTTAACGCGTTCATTCAAGTGTGTCCTGTCAACACATTTATACAAGTGTGTCCTGTTAACACGTTCATACAATGTGTCCTGTCAGCACGTTTGTACAAATGTGTCCTGTTAACACGTTCATACAAGTGTGTCCTGTCAGCACGTTCATACAAGTGTGTCCTGTCAGCACGTTCATACAGATGTGTCATGTCAACACGTTCATACAAGTGTGTCCTGTACACACGTTCATACAAGTGTGTCCTGTAAATACGTGCATACACATGTGTCCTGTAAACACGTTCATGTAAGTGTTCCCTGTCATACAAGTTTTTTTCTGTTAACAGTTCATACTAGTGTGCCCTGTCCACACGTTCATAGACAGTATATAACTTACATGTAAGTAAATGAAATATTTAGTTTAAATAAGTTTTTATGGGGTTTATTGACATTTTGTTAACACAAGTGTGGATTAAATTGAAGACAATAGCCGATCTGCTGACGCTGGTCACTCTTACATCTAGTAGGTGGTCGTCTGTCATACGCACGCGCTCGTACCTGGCCACTGTACATGTGGTCGAAATAAGGGCATATGTGTACGCTTGAGTTAAATATAACACAATACCATAACGCTGAGCGCTGTATGTATTTATGTTGCAAACAATACGCGCCTTGATAAAATTTATAATAAAACTAAATCTTAAACTAAACAAATATATTATTAAATTTTAAATATAATGTCTTACCTCACAATGCTCACAGGTCCATTTCACGGAATACTTCGTCTGGTAGCAGTCGTACTTAAACATTATCTGCTTAAATTCCTCGTACATTTTTGCAATCTCCAGATCCAAAAATATAATTTTCTGAAGATAATTTAAACAGCCTGTATCCTCGATTTCATGGGATATATCCTTGTTTGGAATCACCTTGTACACGGGATAATCGAAACAAAACTTCAAATGGTATTTCCCTAATTCCTGTCTCCGTAGTGTTTTACTAATATTGCAAATATTTTCACTGAATTGAGAATTAAGGTAAAGGCACTGGGACCGATTAGAGTAGGGGGAACCGGTACTCCCCCCATCGTACCTGAACTCACACGAGCTAGCTGAGGGGTAGGTGGGCAATTTTGTTCCCGAGTGTAGAATACTTTTACAACCGTGAACAAAACCCATCAGCAGAAGAAAACAGGCTGTAACGATGCTTCGTAGATGACAGGCCTCTTTGTATGATGAACTCGGCTTTTCATATAGCGAGGCTGCCACATGACACAATGTCATAGTTCAGAACAAGATGAGAAAAATGGTTGAAAATTTAAGAAAAGCATTAAAAGGTGGACGCGGAACCTGGCGTAAATATTCATCCAGTTATCCAAATGGAAATCCTGGTGTGGGAATTATTTTATATTCCTTCCCAGAAAATAACTGGAATAACGACGAACACTTATTTTGGTAACAAACAAAACAACTTGTGGCTATGTCGAGGTCCGGTCCTCCGGATACGCCTTTGCTACTAAATTCCCTCGGTAACACGTATCCCCGTTTCTTCTTCGTTTCTTCACAAACTCTATACAAACTGGTGCTGGTCCAGACGAAGGATGGGAACTCAATGACTAGCGACATACCTACTTAAATTCAAACAGAGTTCACATCGAATCCGCCAGCTTTTATTTGGCTTATATTTATCTGTTGTAGCTTAGCCGGCACATCACACATGTTGAATATACAAAATAAGCACTGAAGCTATATGTCACCGCCATCTTTCCATTCCCCTCAATTACTCGCATCATTTGCGCATGCGTATGTGAAGCCACATGTTGATCCCTTAGTGCAAGCTTTCCGATTCAAACAATTCGTCAGATGGCATTTGAGCGGGCTGCATTATGCGTGAAAAACAGTTTTAAATAGACAGCTAAATGCAAACAGACTTTACATTTTATCAGTCCATTCCCATATCAACGAGACGAGTATTTTCCCATTGATTTTGCACAGCTCTGTATGTAGTGAACACGGCTGATGTTTCACCGATCTCAGTAGGGCTCCTAGTAGCCACGCCGCACTCACTTGCTTCGCAAGCCAACACTAAGTTTCAGTTGTTAGCGGGAGAGACAAAACGCAACAAGTGTTGATTTTCGAGAACCGTCGACTCGGACAAGGGCACCTTCGAGTTGCCTTGTTCCGTTGTCGGTTCGCTTAGATTCTCGATATGTATATATACCAGCAAATCAATACCGCAAAGTTGAAATGGAATGGAGTCACCCTGTTTACGACGATAATTTCAGCCATGGAAAAGGAACGGTGCAGGATAGTTGAGCTCGCTACGATTATTCACTATTGATTCAACTGGCAGTGTGACCACTACAAGTCGAGAAGTCCTCCAACAAACAGCGCGTCCCTCTACCTCACTAATACATACAGATCATACACATACATACTTAGCCAGAACTGATAAGAGCAGATCTCGCGCTCCCGATTTCCTAACATTCGCTACGTCAATAGATTCGACTGCTGGAGATTTTTGTTTGAACAATATCTACATACAAACACAGCTATATATTTGTATATATGCATATGATCTATTATATCTATTGTACAGAACGTGCGATTCTACAGTGTTCTCTCTGGTCAGGCTGTGGTCACTTGATCCCAGACCGGTGGTCAGCAGATGCTTACGTGCAAGCAGCGTTCACTGTATTTACGGAGCCGTGACAGCTAGCCGACAGTCAGTATCTCCTTCTGATCGCTAATCGGATTCATCACAGGCTGCCGTTGTCGGCAATGTTGAGGGAGAATGGGGATGACAACGATGAATGTGGTGATGAGAAACATAGAGAAAGAGGTTGTTCACTCGAACTGGTCACTTACACATGCAACGGAAGACCTGGCCGGCAGATGAACAGTTTATTGTCGAGAATTAATTGGAATGCATGCCGAGATTGTCGAGATGTGTGCGCACTGATTGGGGAACACACGTGTGTATTTACACACAGATTCAATCATTTCTTATCAATTATATTACGTCACACACTAATCTTTCACTATAGATATTCATATAAAACATATTTCATGCGTCATCGAAAATATTTCTCATTCACATTCCTGTGAAACCGACCTGCTACATTGTAAGTGTTTTTAACGAGGTGCAATGAAGTTTAGTGGTCCATGGCTCTATAAAATAAACATGCGTGCAAATACCTATGTGGCTGTTTAGCTATAAACAACTTATATACAGCTAAGATACAACAACTCATTGGGTAGCTATAGTAACCACATGCACGTGCGCCGTTCGCTTAATCATGTATGTACGGTTACAAGAAAGGAGTTATCAGAATTATACTTTTTTTAATATATTACTTTTTTGGATCAGCGTTTTATATCTCCTCTTACATTTTTACCGATTAAATATTCAATAAGGAAAATAACTTCAACAGGTTTTTTTCAAAATTAATATTTTTTTATATTACATGTATTTTACTAAAAAATAACGACTTGTTTATTTCGATTTGTTTGGTTTTCCTGTGCCGACTCCGCCTGAGTCGTAAATGAAATATGAATTGTAAAAATCTGTGGAATATTCATCGAGAAGCCGTAAAAAACGGAAAGATCGTTCCGATTATTTGTTCATGCATTAATGCATCATGCAACGTGACCACGTGGGTTTTCTCCGGGTACTTCGGTTTCCTCCCACACGCTAACATCCGGGCCAACAAGAGTGATTAATATAAGTTGAAATAACTTGTTTCATAATTGTTGTTAAATAAATAAAGTTTATATTATCATGCATTAATTTCAAGATTTTTCTTGTTTGTCCTCAGCCAAAAGTCACATGACTTTCTAGCCACGGACGGGTTTATTTATGAAGTTACAGGAAAAAATAGTATGAATATTGATAAAAATAAATTTGAAGGGTACATATGCTAACGATGTTCAAGAAGTTTTGAATCCCCAGTCAATCTTAGTGGAAAAATCGTTTGGACAATAAATAAACAGTTAAGCACACCTAAGTCCTCGAACCTAACTAGCAAAATGGAGAAAATTATCATGCTTCTCATTCTTTAAATTTTTGACGTCATCTTTTAGGCAGAGTACATTAAATGTTGTGACGCAATATTAAAAAAGAGTGTTCATCTTTTTTCTGAAACATTTTGTATTTTTATATTTTTTTCCGACATTTGGTGTTATTGAATAAAGAGGACGCATGACTAATGTATTAAAATACTGTTTCCTCCGTTTGGGAATGAATGTAGCGTTATCTAGTCTTTTTATTATAACAATGTCAAAGGCCAAATGTTCAAATGCACCAGGAGTTCATAAATATTTCAAATAGCATAGTGGCACAATCAACGTGTTATCAGTCACGAGGTGCTACAGTCTAGGGTCGATCAGTTGTATCCGGTTATATTTTTCTTGGGTTGATAAAACAAAATGCATTGAGCTAATTAGTTTATCATTAATGTATCAAAAACTTGTAATTGACGTCAAAATGGGATGACGATGACATCATTCCAAGAATAACAAACTATCTACGTACAAGGTACCAACAAATAAATTGTACATTGTCAACATACAATGTACCAAATAATGTATTATACATTGTCAACATACAATGTACTAAATAATTGATAACACATTGTATACATACAATGTACAAAATAATGGATTACACCTTGTCTACATACAATGTACCAAATAATGTATTACGCATTGTATACATACAATGTACCAAATAATAGATAACACATTGTCAATATACAATGTACCAAATAATGGATTATACATTGTCTACATACAATATACCAAATTATGTATTATACATTGTCTACATACAATGTAGCAAATAATGTATTATACATTGTCAATATACTATGTAGCAAATAATGTATTATACATTGTCAATATACTATGTAGCAAATAATGTATTATACATTGTCTACATACAATGTCCCAAATATTGTATTATACATTGTCTACATACAATGTACCAAATAACGGATTACACATTGTCTACATACAATGTACCAAATAACGGATTACACATTGTCTACATACAATGTACCAAATACTAGATTACACATTGTATACATACAATGTACCTAATAATAGATAACACATTGTCAATATACAATGTACCAAATAATGGATTATACATTGTCAACATACAATGTACCAAATAATGTATTATATATTGTCTACATACAATATACCAAATTATGTATTATACATTGTCTACATACAATGTCCCAAATATTGTATTATACATTGTCTACATACAATGTAGCAAATAATGTATTATACATTGTCTACATAGAATGTACCAAATAATGTATTATACATTGTCTGCATACAATGTACCAAATAATGTATTATACATTGTCTACATAGAATGTACCAAATAATGTATTATACATTGTCTGCATACAATGTACCAAATAATGTATTATACATTGTCTACATAGAATGTACCAAATAATGTATTATACATTGTCTAGATACAATGTACCAAATAATGTATTATACATTGTCAACATACAATGTACTAAATAATTGATAACACATTGTATACATACAATGTACCAAATAAGGGATAACACATTGTATACATACAATGTACAAAATAATGGATTAAACATTGTCTACATACAATGTACCAAATAATGTATTACGCATTGTATACATACAATGTACCAAATAATGGATAACACATTGTATACATACAATGTACAAAATAATGGATTACACATTGTCTACATACAATGTACCAAATAATGTATTATATATTGTATACATACAATGTACCAAATAATAGATAACACATTGTATACATTCAATGTACCAAAGAATAGATAACACATTGTATACATACAATGTACCAAATAACGGATTACACATTGTCTACATACAATGTACCAAATACTAGATTACACATTGTATACATACAATGTACCTAATAATAGATAACACATTGTCAATATACAATGTACCAAATAATGTATTATACATTGTCTGCATACAATGTACCAAATAATGTATTATACATTGTCTACATACAGTGTACAAAATAATGTATTATAAATTGTCTACATACAGTGTACCAACTAATGGATAACACATTGTCTACATACAATGTACCAAATACTAGATTACACATTGTATACATACAATGTACCAAATAATAGATAACACATTGTCAATATACAATGTACCAAATAATAGATAACACATTGTCAATATTCAATGTACCAAATAATGTATTATACATTGTCAATATACAATGTACCAAATAATGGATTATACATTGTCAACATACAATGTACCAAATAATGTATTATACATTGTCTAAATACAATGTACTAAATAACGGATTACACATTATCTACATACAATGTACCAAATAATAGATAACACATTGTATACATACAATGTACCAAATAATAGATAACACATTGTATACATACAATGTACCAAATAATGGATAACACATTGTCTACATACAATGTACCAAACCATATAATATCACAAATTCTGTATTGTGTACATACAATGTAATATACAAGTTAAAAAAATAGGATTTCCGCATTGTGTACATGCATTACAATATACAATGTAAAATATAATGGTTTACACAATACAATGCACAAATACACTTTACCCAGTTTGCAGTACAACATGGATTTACGTACATGGAATGCACAGTGTCCAAAATTAGAGATGAAACCAAACCAAGAAAAGTAAGCGTAAGTACAGAATGGTCTTTTAGTTTGAGAAATAATGTATAAAGTGGGTAAGCTTTGATAACTGCTACCTGTATCACAAACAAGGTATACAGTGTCTATACAGGTCAGTTTGGTTCTGTTATTAATTTCATGTAAATAAAAAACCGTTCTTTCCACTTACCTTACGTTTGGTGATGTTGGTGGGTGACGTCATAGCATTTGATTTGTAAACCTGTTATATAATTACTTACAGGAACTGTAACGATTGATGTGATTTCAATACATAGAAATTAGTTAACACTGTAGCATGAAAAAGCATTTCTCGCATATTTTTTTTATTTTTTTTAACATTGCGGGTTTGTCTATATTTAAATGATATTAAGCTACCAAGTAGTGTATTTAGCAGACATCGCTGATAGGGCTATCCCCGACCCCTGGAAACCTGAATAACACTACGAAGTAGAACTAGAATATTTTTTGATATTATTGTTATTACTTCTCAAACAGTTTTAATGCACTTAATTTGTCACTTTGTACGACATCCGAAGAGCTTGTAATTAGGTAGGGGATGTCCCGACCACAGGGAGTGTTATCTGTGATAATTTAGGTTAATTTTATCCATGTATGACATAGAACTGTTTTAACAATATTTTACAAGTTGATTGATCCCTGCTACATTTGTATGTAAATTTATGCTTGTAT